TTCAGTCTTCCAACTTTCTCTTTGTATTCTGTGTTCATCCAAAAATCTTCTCCCAAGCTGCTTCTCATTCTTTGCTATCAATCTGTCACTCTGAGTATGTTTCTCTGGTCACTGCTGAGGACTGTTGGTACCCTTTTTCCTTCCGCGTAACATCTGTACTTTGTAACTGCTTTGCAATACCACTGTGCTCCCTTTCAAAAGGTCATCATCCTAACTTCTGTATTCAATTCTGGAGTCAATGTGGTATCTTCTCCAAGGCCTGATGTGTGTTTTCTTGTGTTCCACAGAATACATCTAATAGATCAGTTCAATACAGATATGGGTATATTTGTATTCCTCCTGTCAACCAAAGCTGGTGGCTTAGGAATTAATCTGACCTCAGCAAACGTTGTTATTCTTCATGACATTGATTGCAACCCATACAATGATAAGCAAGCAGAAGATCGATGCCATAGAGTAGGTCAGACAAGGTAAGACTTTTTAGTGCTTGGCTTTTCTTGAAGGCAAGCTCTCAAAGGAGGCTAAAAGGGCAATATTTTATGATGAAAAATTCCATTATAAGCAGAGACTTACATAAACCAGCTCTGGGTGGTGTGAGCACTAGGTGATTGTAAATGTCTTAGCACATGTTACTGCCAGAAAAAACCTTATTTACATTCTCCTCCTTTTTCCAGTTCTCTGTAACTCTCAAATTCTCCAATTTCTGGTGCAGTTATCTGTAACTCTCAAATTCTCTATGATTCTCAATTTCTGGTGCTAGGAACTATTTCAAGGTAGATCTGAAGTCTTTGGGACTATTTGGTAGAGCTCTTTGTTCTCTTCAGGAGACTTCTAAGCTCTAAAGTGCCACCTTATCATAAAGAGTGAAACCATAGACTGTTTTAGAGTCCTCTGTCAGATTACACTAACATTAGCAATAGTGTACGTTTAATAACTGCTATTTCAGCCATTTTACGGGACGAGGGAGAAGCAGTGTTGTTTCTATTAATGGAGATTTTTGTGACCATCCAGACTTTGCGGTGGCTGGGATTGCAGGAGAAAAGTTTTGTGGCAGTACAGAGCACGGTTGGTCCAGACAGAAAAACTAGGAGCTCTTTGTATTGCCCTCTTGTTCATCTCCTCCTCCTTGTTTTAACCCACTGCCAGCTGAGCAAAGGCATGACATCCTTCCCTTTTGCACTAATCCGAAGAAACTATAAAAATGGATTTATCCTGTTTTGTGGTTTTCAGAGAAGTAAAAGTCATAAAGCTAATCAGTAAGGGGACTATTGAGGAATCCATGCTCAAAATCAGCCAGCAGAAATTGAAGTTAGAACAAGATATGACTGCAGCAGATTCAGGTAAGTCTCTTCCACATAATAATTTTTTACTCACTTAAGTGAGTTAAGGTTGCTGCAATATATTATTCTGAAAAAAACAAGGTTCTTGATGCAGACAAGCCCTTTTTGTTTTCATGTTAAATAAACTAGAAAGATGTATTTGTGCTGATTATTGCTAGGTTTGACAGCTTGTGCCCTCTGAGTCTGACCCACAAATCAATGACAGACTCCCACAAGTAGAGGATTTTGTACAGTTTTTGGGATCTAGACTTTTGTCATGTGAAATATTTTGAGCTGTACTAACACTTATTTTTATTCCTCAGGAGAAGAAGGAACCATTCCAGCAGATATAGCCACACTATTAAAAGCTTCGTTAGGTCTCTAAAATGTAAATATGTTGTGGAATTCAAGGAATAAAGGTGGTGATGTACTCCAAGGACTCTTACATTATAGATGGCCATGAGTTTTATGAACATTTATAACTTTTTGTAGTTTCTTTATTGTATTCCTCATGGTATTGAAAATTTTTAACACCGATAGCATTCTTTTGATGCTTAAAAACATAAATGGCCCAAATGTGCTAACATTGGATGCTGAATAAACATTATTTTACAGATCACTTTTCAAAACGGGGACCTAAGTAGTAATTGTTTTAACAAATCTGCTACTGCTTAAGATTTGTCAGTATTTTTGTAATTATTTCTACCTCCAAATATATATATATAAAAACTGTCTGTTTCACTGGATTACATGTGTAGATTTTTTTATATGTGCCTTATTTGACAATGCTCGAGTCTGTTTCTGTTTGTTTTGGTTCATTTGATGTACCGTACTGGTTTTGTATCAACTTGTTCAAATAAAATTCCATAGATTAACAAAATGTTTTCATTTTGTGGTTATTTGGGGGTGATGGTGGTGTGATAACTTGCATGCTATAAATCAAATAGGCAACTTTCAAACTAGCTGAAACATTCCATTTGAACTGACTTGGCTTTATGCAGCAGTAGTTAATTACTAATGTCTCATTATATCCTAATCACAGTTGTGTTAGGATATTGATAATAAAACCAGAATTCCTGCCAAATGGAATTTTTCCACCCAGGTTGCAATTTTTTTTGTCAATTCTTGGTGTAGATACCAGATCTGTGCGCTGCCAATGAAGTGCCTTAAACACGAAGCTTATGTCTTGCTCTTCTTGAAGTTTCAGTGAATTTAGAATTCATCTCGGTGAAATGAAGAGCTTCAGTGGTGTCAATGATGAGATGTGCCTCCACCTGAAGTTTATAATCTGCTGGCAAGGATGTGATCTGAGGACGTAGGAGAGGAGGGTGTCCATTTCCCTGGACAGAGGACAAGACTGAAATTTGGTCCTTTGAACTCGGAGTAAAGATTCAGACTGCTGCTTTTTTTTAGAAGGTGGGGAAAGACAAAGTACGGTGAAGTCCTCCTTGCCCCTGCCCTCTGTTAAAGCCTCGGGTGCTGTATGCTCTGTGCAGAGCTCAGCAAACCTGTACCAGGCTGAATCTCCTGGAGGATTGCATCCTAGAATTCACTCTGGTATACAGTATGGCGTTGATAGTTGCCACTTTTCTATAGATAGTTATCACAGTCAGAAGACACTTACATCTTTTGAAGGAACTTAAACAGTTTTATATGAAGAGTAGGCAAGAGGAGCTGGAGTCCATGGTTGCTCAGTATTTCAGCATGTCTCCAGATACTGCTAGTGATGAGTCAGTGAGGTGACCTGTGAGTTGGGCATCTGGGGTCTTTTTTGTTTGGTTATGGCTGTGAGTATTTTTTCCAGCTGTGCATGATTTCTACAAGTACAAAATGGATGGAAAATGAAAGCTTTTAAAATGTTTTCAGTGTTTGAACTAAACTTTACTTGGCTTTTACTAGAAATCTGCTGTCTCTGTGCTACATGTTCCAAAATCCACAGCTGAAACAGGGTGAAGAAATACTTTATTGTATAGGAAAGGAGAAAGGTAAGAACCAGTTTGTCTACCATGCTTCTTTAATTCTACCTGGTTTGTTGGACTAGATAGTGGGATTTAACAGACAGCCACAAGTGTTTAATACTGCAGTTAATTAGGTTGTCTGTTTCTGTTGAGCGTGATCCTAGCCTGACTCTTATCCCGTTGTATTTGCATGTTCTCTCCTGCTTGCTTCAAATGTGAAATGAAATGCCTGCCCCATAAGGTGGTTTGTGTGCTGTTTCAGTTTGGTATTTGTATGTAATCAGTTAATGTCATCTGGCTGAGCAGTGGTTACTCCTTAATCACATCCCTAGACCCCTGGGGTCAATATCTGTCTTTAAGTGCTATGAAGCTCATATATGTGTTTCTGCCTTTTTTTGTTTATTATAACTGTTTAATTGGGGGTCTTAAGAGATTGTAGAGTCACCATCCTTAGAGATACTCAAAAGCCGTCTGGACACAGTCCTGGGCAACTAGCTCTAGGTGGTCCTGCTTGAGCAGGGCATTTGGATCAGATGACCTCCAGAAGTCCCTTCAATCTCAACCATTCTGTGATTCTGTGTCTCTGGTTGGAAAAAAAAAACAAACCATAAACTATCTCAAGTCTGTTGCTGAAGAAGAGAGGAGAGTGGGAGCTGAAGGAGGAAAAAGAAAATCTGTGAAGATGCAAGAAATTGCTGGTGGAGATACCATATTGGAATGAGGTTTGACCTTGCTTTCAGTTCTACCAATATCTGGTTTGTCTCTGAACTGTTATTGGTTGGTTGGTGTCACTCATGAGTCAATGAAATAATGCTTATGGTGGGAGGGAAAAGCAAATGTGAAGGGAAATAGTTTCCCAACAGTGGCCATTTTCAGCCCAGAGGATTGCCCAAGTTTGTTGTGGTTTGTCTGCTTACACCACACAGTGGAGTCCTCTTGCAAGCACTTGTCTCCCCTTGAGTTTGTGTAAACTGCTTGCATCTGCAGCCATCCATGTTGCCAGGATTTCCACCGACTTGTTTTGCCCAGTGCCGGAAGAGCAAATTGTTTGTTCGTTCATTTGTTCTAAACCTGGTTTCCTTGCTACCACTGCCCCCAAGTTGTGTCTCCTACTTACTGGAAAAGATTCTGAGCAGCTGGTGTGCTTATGGAGAACTGGTGCTGATGTGGGCACCAGCTCAGCTGGGCAGCTGCTTTTTGTTTTTGTTTGGGGTTTTTTGTTTGTTTGCAGTGGCACAGCATAAACAAGTGGCAAGAGGCTAAAGAAAGTGCTTGAGAAGCTTGAAGTTTGTTGACTAAGTGGGTCTTTTTTTTTTTTTTCTTTTTTGCTTAATGTCCATAGTCCTCCCACACACTTACCCTCTCTGCTAATTAGCCTGCTTTCCTCCAGATTGAAAGTCTGCAATAAACAAAGTATTGCTGAGATTGCATCTCTCTAGGAAGGTTTAGTCATCTCTTCTACCTTTGAGAACCCGCAGAACACTAGTTAGGTTGATCAAGCACTTTATTGGGAGGGAGGGAATGTGGCTGGAACCACACCCCTCAGGCTTTACTAAATCAGCTTTCTAGATTCTCTCCTATAAATGAATACAAGTGGTAGATGTTGATTTGGTATGGCATACTCATCTGAAATTAATTTAAAAGCTTCTAAATTAATAACTTAGGACACTTGTCATGTAGAAAACTGAACACAAATTTGTTTTTTCCAGTCTGAACAGCTGATCTACATTATAGTCTTCGGTCTTTTCTGGATCCAGGCTGCAATAGCTGGAAGTGCTTGCACTCTCTCTCTCAGAGCCAAAAGCCTGGGGTAGTTGTCTGCCAGGTCAGGTTTACAGGACAGAAGTGTCGTGCTGCACACATCCCAGTAGAAGTCAGCCCATGTTACCTGGTTGAAATGAGAGAGAAAGCAGTAAATTTTACTTCGTAATCTCAAAAGCCGGAACTACTAACATTCTCAGCAAACTGCAGAAATGAAATATGAATTAATCTATTTTGTGTAAGTTATTTTTAAGCTTATAATTACAGAGCTAGGTTGCAATGCAGGCTTGACTTCAGTAAAAATTGGTTAAATAAAGTCCTTGCTAAAAATATGACTTTATAATATTAATCTTACTTGCTGAAACTCTGCTGTAGAAGAGTATTTTAATTAGTTTCCAAATAGTTTTGGGTAAAAAAGGGGATTACATTTTCATAGAGGTTTTTTTCATATTGTTCTATAAATTAGAACTCTGCTTATAATCACTGATCAAACAACTCCTGTTTGTATTGACTATGAAGGCATTTATAATCATAGAATGGTTTGGGTTGGCAGGGACCTTAAAGATCATCTAGTTCCAACCCCCCTGCTGCGGGCAGGGACACCCTCCACTAGACCACGTTGCCCAAAGCCCCATCCAACCTGGTCTTAAACACTTCCAGGGATGGGGCATCCACAGCTTCTCTGGGCAACCTGTTCCAGTGCCTCACCACCCTCACAGGGAAGAATTTCTTCCTAATACCTAAACTAAATTTATTACCCCTTGTCAACAGCCCCTCTCCAGCCTTCTTGTGGGCCTCTTTAGGTACTGGAAGGCTGCAATAAAGTCTGCCAGGAGCCTTCTTTTCTCCAGGCTGAACAATCCCACCTCTCTCAGCCTGTCCTCATAGGAGAGGTGCTCCAGCCCTC